AGCATTTGTAAATTATGCCATATTTTTCCACTCTCTCTCTCTCTCTCTCTCTCTCTCTCTCTCTCTCTCTCTGCTTCATCCATCAATTTTTTACTTCGTATATAAAAAAACATTAAAATTATACAAAATTAAATTCTGAATTGTTTGAAATCAAATTAAATTATAATTTGTAATAACTAACACAAAAATTAGATTAATTTCATTCGATTCCTTATAATAGATTATAAAGAAAGTTAAAATGAATTCATTATTACGTTTTTTAAATTTATTCAATCATCGAAAAGTATTGAATTTATTATTGTTTTTATCATGAAATTCCCTAGACGACATTTGATATCCATATTATGTCTTTGTACAACTACGATGAGCTATATTGGCCGTATCAATCTATCGACAGCAATCGTAGCTATGACTTTTGATACACATGATGAAGCAATGGAGGAATCTGACTCTAAGGCCACAATTACAGACGCTTGTCCAGATCGCAATTTCATTAAAAAAAACACTTCAGAATCGGAAAATGAAATCAATTTGCAATCAACAACTGCTCAGCGTTTCGATTGGAATAAAAAAACTCAAGGTATGATTTTGGGCGCCTTTTTCTATGGTTATTTTTCCTTACAAGTTATGGGCGGACGTCTGGCCGATATGTTTGGGCCACGAATATTGTGCACATCGGGCTTATTCATGACTGGAATGATAAATCTTTTGACACCTTTGTTAAGCAATTATTTTGGTTTATTGATTACAAGTCGGGTCGTTCTAGGTCTATTTCAAGCAGGCATTTATCCATCTTGTTATGCACTGATATCACGTTGGATACCTGATCATGAACGTAGTAAGAGCAATTCAATGGCATTTATTGGCGGTAATTTGGGTTCACTAATAGCATCAACATTAGCTGGATATCTTAGCCGTCATGGATTCGCTGGTGGATGGCCTTCTGTTTTCTATGTTTCAGGTTCGTTTCTCTATCTTTCTTTGAATTGTCATCAATTAACAATCAATCAAATAATTAAAATTAGGTACACTGATTACCACTTTTAGCATATTATATTTTTGTCTTGTACGAAATGATCCAGCAAAGCATTGGTTGATATCCGAAAGTGAACTCCAATATATTCAAGAACATATAAAGGAAAAAAAACAAAAAAAACCATCTGTATCATGGCTAGTATTACTTAAAAATCGGACAGTCTGGACTGGTGCTTTTACTTATTTCACATCAACATGGTCTCAAACAGTTTTTGTATTGAAAATTCCAGAATACATGCATCATGTACTGAAAATTCCCTTGGAAAAGAACGGGTTATTTTCAGCATTAATGTATGCGGGTGAATGTACCAGGTAAAAATTGAATGATTTCATTATAAAAATAGGAACTAATTTAATTTTTTCCCCATCTTATTTCAAAAGTTTATTAACGACCGGAATAATTGTTGATAGAATCATAAAAACCGATCGTTATGATAAGACTGCAATAAGAAAAATTTGTCAAACAACCGCCCAAATTGGTGGTGCCATTTGTCTATTGATGGCTACTATCGCCAATTGTAATGAAGGATTATTTTTATTTGCAGCAACGGCAACAACGGTTACGAATGGTCTACAAGCCGGTGGTATGGTCCCATTACCATCGGATTTATCAAATGATTTCAGTGGAACAATATTCGGCATAATCAATATGATTTCTATGACAAGTGGTTTCATTTGTCCGTTAGTCATAGGACATATCGTTGATGCTAATCCCAGTCGCATTAAACATGGATGGTGGACTGTTTTTTATATAACGGCTGCATTGCGTACGGCTGGCGGTATTGCATTCGCATCATTTATATCAGCTAAACCGCTATCATTGGGTTGGAAAAATGCCCCATCACCATCATCAGCATCAGCACAAGCAACAGCACCAACACCAGCATCAGCATTAGCATCGGCATCAGCATCAACACCAGCATCAGCATTAGCATCGGCATCAGCATCAGCATCAGCATCGGCATCGGCACCAGCATCGGCATCGGCACCAGCATCGGCATCGGCACCAGCATCAGCATCAGCACCAACATCAACACCAACATCACTATCATCATAGTCACATTCTGTCCACAACGATGATGATCATTCATTGAAATAATAAATTGATTCATTGTTTTTTCCGCTTGAAAATTTTTGAAACTCTGTAACTTTAATTTTATCAGATATACAATTTTTAATGTTATCGTTAAATTTGGTTTCTTATTTCAACTTGACTCAATTATATTATATTGTTTTTATTTTAAAACTATGATATGATTTTAAATGATTTTATTCGATTTCTGTAATTGTAATAATAATCTTTTGAAAAATGATAAAAAAATAATATAATATTTAAGCTTTATGAATTTTTCATAATCGCATTATTGTCATTATCGAAACATTGGTCGGTCATTTTCATCTGAATTGTCATCTGGTATATATCAAATTAATTTCTTTGGTCATCTGGTATTTGTCAAATTTTTCTTCAATAAAGTGATAATAATTAATTCTGAAATTGTTCATCCAAATAATTGTCATTCTCGTGAGGAACAGATGAATGATTCAATTCGATCGAATCAAATGAAAGAATTGAGAATTTGAAGCAGCAATTGATATTATACTTTTCTTGTTGGAAGCTTTTTTCTAACAACACACAACATATTCTAGCCGAATGCAAAGATTCATTAAATCATTATCATTGAAGATTTGTTTTTAATAGTAATAAAAAAATTTATTTACAATCTGGATGCAGATAGAAATGCGTTTTTTTCAAACATTTCATTAATTAAAACAATTCGATTCCAAATTTTTGATTAAATTATTTCTAACAATAGCAAGTCAGAATGTCATAACCAAAAAAATATGTTATTTGATTTTCTAATCAACATCATTGATTACAAAGACAATTCAAATGGACGATGGAAATTATTTAGAGTTAGGCCCATTTTACAAACTTATATCGGGTGAAAAATTCAAATGAAAAATAAATAATTCATAACTTTTCATGTTGATAAAAAAAAGAGAAAATAACAACTATCTTTGATAATATTTATTCAATTCGATGAAAAGAATAAAAATAATTTCATAGCGGAAATTTTTTTTTGCATTATGAAAAAATAACGAAGATGATGCCGATGATGAGAAATTGTGATGATTAATGATGATGGTTCAGGATGATGATCAGATTCAATTGATGAATGATAATAATAAGATTATAAAGTATAATCGAGCTCATAACGAATAAAATTATTTGTTGAATCGTTTGGTATGCGTGGATAGCCAGCAATAAGCGAATCCTGTGCACCAATATACAGCGTATTGTATACTTTCCAATAAACATCACGAACTTTTCTGGCTGGATGAAATAGGCCCTGAAAATAAACAATCATTAATGATTTAAATGATTAATGAAAAAACAATGCATACCTGCAATGTATATTGCAACATTTTATTAGGTCCGATAGCAACACGAAGACCTTCGATAGCTCCCATGAATGCCTGAACTAAATGAGGTGATGTTTCAAAAATATTTGGCCAAACATAATTTAGCAGATGTGTGAGAGCATCTTCACAACCGAATCCATATACGCCAAGTGCCATATGTTGAACAACGGAACAGGCCGTTTGACGATGAACTAAATCGCTAATAAAAAAAAATTAAGTTAGGCACTTAAAAGACAATAGTCAATATTCAACAAACTTACCGATCCATTAGAGCATCTTCTAGCAAAGATGTCACAGCATAAATATAATCTTTGGCCATTTCACCAATGTATTCGAACAAAAATGATAATGATTTAAGTACACCATTTTGTACGTTCAATTCCGGTACACGATATTCATTCATTAATGCAGGAAGAACAGTGAAAGGAGAACATGTTTCAGCTACTATGGCTATGGCTACGGTTGTGCATACACGATTTTGTCGTTCTTGAACTCGTAAATTATTTAATAATGTTGCAAGAACATCATGAGGACCGATAGCCTTGGCAATGTAACCGAATGTATTTACCGCAGCTCGACGAATCGCTTTTTTATGAGCTTTGAGTAATTCGAGTAGTTCGAAACAAATACGCATCCATTCACGAGCCGATACATATTCTGCTCCACGATCAGCGATACGACCAACAAGATCAATACAATTTTCCTGTACTTTCTCATGACGATTTTTAAGAATAGGAGTTAATCGCGGTAATAAATCTTTGATTGGTGGTGTCATCTTTTCCATTCCTATAACATTGACAATAGCTTTTAATGCACCCAGAATCGAGCCCAATACTTCGGGATATTCTTCGCCCAGATATTCATAAAGTACAACACCCATATGGCTCATTAGTTTTTCCTCTTGACAAACTTTCATTACAACAGCAATTTTCGATATTAGATCGGCAGCCTGTTGTCGAACCTTGGCCGATTTATTATTCAAACGCCATAGAATCGTGCCACAAATCTGTGGAAGATAGGGTTTTACACGTTTGCCCAAGGTATTTACAACCGTACCAAAACCATTTAACATGACCATATCTTCAGTAGTCTGTTCTTGGAATGAATAAAGAATACCATCGATCAATTGTTCTTCAAGACGAGAATCAATCTGGGATGCGCCAAGATTCGACATGATTTTTTCAATAGTTTCCATAACCATCTTACGATAGGCTTCATTCTCGTCTTTTAGGTCATCAACAATCCGAGTAATGATTTCAGCCGCTTCAACTTTGTTAGCAATTTCTACTGTTGTATCAACCAACTGTCGATAATTACGTTTATCCAATGCCATACGATGATTCCAAAAATGTCGAAAAAAATGTGGCAAGACCTCTTCTTTGATATATTTTGGCTCAACACCATCGGTTCCGCAACATTGTTTAACAACTTTGAGTACAATTTTTTTCATTTCTTCATCAGGTGATTGAAATTCACGAATCAATATGAACATTACCTCACGTGTGTAATAATTAGCATATTCAGCATCCATCAACGGTATTAGATAGCCGATAGCTTTCAAGAAGGCAGCCAAACCTTTACCACGATGTGTACGGATACCTTTCCATAATGGTTTAAGAACTGAATCGAATGATTCGATACCATAAGGCGTTGCAGCTTCAGCCAACGCAGCCAACGCTAATGCCGTGATCGTACGAACTTTTTGCTGTTCATCAACCAAACCATGTTCAATAATTTCAACCAAATTACGGAGATGTGGTAGTATGGCACAGCCCATAAGAATTGCAATTTGTTGAACAATTTTAATACCAGTATGACGAGCTTGCCAGGATTTTTTACTCCTACAAACAGCTTTTAAAAATGGCAACAATGATGGAATGCCTAATGCAGATGCAACAACTGCAAACGCTCTGGCCGTAGTGTTACGGACGTATTCATCAACATTTTCAATATCGGGACGCATAGTTGATATCATTGTTGCTAAACCAGCAGCTTTTGCTAGATTCGATATGATTTCACGACCTTCCACACGAGCATAATAATCTTCATCAATCAATAAAGGTTCAATGACAACAAGAATCTTATGAACATAAGGACGAACCAAATCGTCAAGCTTGTACAGAATGCGATCGATAACTTTGACTAATAAATGTCTTTCCTGATCTTCCAACGTAGGTGACATTAATAGTGGTAGAATCTGATTAAACAATGATCCTGCACCAAATTCACGAGCTTTATCGGTGATTTGTCGTAGGGCAGATTTTCGCATTGGTGGTGTTCCATTCTTAATTTTCAACAATAGTTTCATGATTTTTCGTTCTTTTTGTTCATCAGGACTCAATGTTTCTTCATCAACTTCTGTGAGAAGTTTATCGAAATATTGCAAATCATCTGGTTTAAGCGTTGGTAGATTTTGTCCTTTTGGCTCAAGATCCATCATCATTTTTGAACCAGCTGCTGAGCCCAATTCATCGGCTTTTTGCATGAAAAACCCACCAACCATGGGTGTTGGAGTGGCCATCAATTTCCGTGCTGGTGTACGGATCGGTTGATAACCTGAAGGTGGCGGTAAGATTTTATAACCAGGTGGTAGAAGAGCGTCCAACTCTTCATCTGTAAGGATTCGATTTCGTTCATCAATTTCACGTTCCCAACGAAAAGCTTGCATTTGTTCTGGTGTCATAGCTACCATGTGGCTAGGAGTTGGTGTCGCCAATCCCATAGCTTTTGTACCTATAGGTGTGGTTCCCGATGGTGTCATCATCGGTGTAGATGGCGTCATCAATGAAGGTGTCTCATCCCATCGTGATCGACGTTTTGATGATCCGGGAGTTTCACCACCCATGGTGATTCCTTCATCCGTTTCAATTCGATCGATTTTAGGCGTTTCAGCCCAACTGGAATATCCAGATTCCATACGTTCCGTTTTTGGCGTTTCATCCCAACGATTACGTCGTGAGGACTTGTTTATCGAATCTATGCTTGGTGTTTGAGCACCGCTGGTACCAATATGAACCGGCGTCGGTTCCCATTGAGAGGATGTTTTCGAATCATCTGCTCCATGCGCCGGTGTTTGATCCCAACGACCAGGTATAGCTGGTGTAGCAGCTTCATGATAATCCCATGCTGATTTTTTTGCTGTTGGTTCAGAAAATTCACTACAACTGTCTGTTGCCGAACCAACACCCGAATCTACTGATGGTTGATCCCAACGTCTACGTTTATTATTACTAGATGATAATGTAGACGATTCATTCGATGTTGTCGTAGGTTTTAATTCACCAGCTTTAGCTTTTTCCAATAATTTCTTTTTCAATTCAGCTTCTTCATTACTCAAAGCCGTTTCTTTAATAATCGTTTTGTATGTACGAGCACTTGGATCAGGAGTTTTACCACCTAAATTTTTAATAGAAAAAAAAATGAAAATTTCAAAAAGAAAAAATTGATTAATAATTATGATACAAGTAGATCAAGAAATCAATGATCGGCATCGTTTTTTTCTGCGACAATGAATTCATTGAACTCGTAAACGATCGACAATTACATTTCTATGTCGCAAATGATTGTGATCACAAACACATTGGCCAAATGAATGAATCAGAAAATTCGCAGACTAGAATTAGACAGTAGATTAGACCGGATGATCGATGATGGTCGTGTGAGCAATACTTACTATGGATGCCAATCACATGCTTATCGTACGTTATTTGTCGCTCACAATTTGAATGCCTGTAATGATGTCGATTAGTAAAAAACTGGAAAATGTTTTTTTTTCAATAAAATTATTCTCTCCATACGGCAAGACAAACCCTTTTTTAACAAATTGTCGTGATCACAAGCTTGAATATGGACATACTTTTTTAACACACAAAGTATTACGGATATAAATTTCCGATTAGGAATTTCGGAAAAAAATTTCAAAAAACGAATATTCTTACCTTCGGCGAAAACGTCTATGCGTTCAGGTGATAGCTGGCGATTACGAAATCGACGCCTATATTCATCTTCACGATCAGCAACTCGTGGTACGCGTCTATCGGCTAATGGATCATGATTCTATCATCGATAATCGATAAATTAAACATAAAAATGTTAGAATGATAATAATTTCAAATGGAAAAACAAACTTACATCATCGACAACATCTTGTAGATAATTTTTCGGGGCCTGAAATGCATTGATCGCTTTTTTATAAACATCATACTCATCATTATCTGCAGAGCCATTTGCGTTCTCCGTATCTTCATCCTTTATTCGATAAAATAAGTCAAAAATGTTTTCCTTATCATCACAAACATATGAGAAGAAACTTACATCATATTCGGCATCATCATTAGCCGGTATAGATGTGTGATAACTGCTAAGATTTGTTCCACCATATATATCAGTATCCATGTTGGCCTTAGACAATGATATTCGACCTTCTTCATTTTCACCATTTGCTGCGGCTGCAGCCGCATTTTTTGCTTGAATTTCCAACACTTGTTGTTCGATTTCTGAAAAAGATAAATAAATGATTTTCTTTGAAATGATTACATCAGATTGGCAAATGAATTTACCTTCGCGAGTTCTGGCCGGTTGCGCCATAACTAATAATGATATTGATGGCCCGCAAAATTTCGAATAAAATTATCCGGACTTAGACGAAGAATATTTTATCCCTAAGAGTTATTGCAATCCAAAAATGAATTCAAAAATAAGATTTTTTTAAAATAAATTGTTAATCATAACACAAAAATAAAAACACACGCGAGTGAGTCGGGAACAATCAGCCGCGAAATGGTTTGTTCATAGAAAATGTGACAATTTAAAAAAAATCGGTGGTATACCACAATCATTTATTAGAAATCGCAATTAATATCAAATCACAAAAATTTAATTACTTATTTGAAATTTAGTTTATGAAAAATCATTAATATCAACAGGATACTTTGTTATGAGATCATTCAAACTAATATCAGGACCTTCCAATATATATCTATAAATTATAGTGTCAGAAATCAAACGTTCATTTTGGTCAAAATATTCAATATAATCAAACAATGATCGTTGATTAATAGTCAATTTTTTTCCTATTCGCCATTCTACTATAGCATAATCAATTTGTTCAAGTAGTTCTTTATTTTCATCGCCATTTAATTCATCAAGATGAATGATTTTCGCTCCGCCAGCTCGAAGAATATTGGCACAAGACATTAGCAATGTGAGATCAAACTTCGTATCATCGAATAATAATAGAAATTTATAACCGTGAAACATTGATTGTTTGTTCTTTCTTAAATAATTATTCCATTCGATTGCCGATTTCATTAATTTCGGGCCACAAGTACCGAGTTTTTCATCATGAATTCCATTACCCCATTGATATTCTTTCTCGGTCAATAATGTTTGTTTTTCAATGGAATCTTTTATGTAATTTGGTTTTAAAATAAATGCAGCTGCAGCTATTGCAGCATAAACTTTTTCTGTTCCATGAGGTTCGGCAAGAATTAGATGAGTTAGTTCGCCAGTGACAATCGAATCATTTTTTATAATTACTTCGGGAATTTTTTCACTACAAAGTCGAGAAAGGCGTAATTTTTCTTCTTTTTCAAATCCGGAAAACATGATGGTAGGAATAGGTTCAATTATTTCCCATTCTTTCTCATTTTCATCTTGAATATTAGAATTGCATTCATATTCGTCAACTTCGTCATCGTTATTTGGAATTTCATTTTTACTATTAAATTCTTCACTATTTTCGTCATCATTATCTGTAGAGGTTGAAGATTGTTCAGAATCGACCAATGCATCATCGTTATCTACATCAATTTTGTCAATTTTTGATTCAGTATCGATGTGATATTGATCGAATGGTAAAATATGCCCAGTTTCGAATGAATCATAAATCCACTGAACCCGAACGCATGGTACATTCATCCTTTTTGCATATTTATATTTTTCACCTTTTGATGAATGCAATAACAAAATTGTATTCTTTTGATTCGATTTTACCATCAGTGATGGGCGATAATTGCCGCCATTAATTTCGACAAGATTTTTTATTTCTTCACGTTCTTTCATCGATAGCTATTTGCAAAAAAAAAAAAAAATAATAATAATAATAATAAAATAATTAATGTCAATAAAAAGATGAAAATCATATGTTCATACTCCTGAAACGACAATATTAAGTTTGTGGAAAATCGGCAACCGATATTTGGAAACAATATTCATTTCACCTGCTCGTCGATATTCGTATTGATATTTGGACCAACACATTTCAATCCATTCAATGTTCATGATAGGTATATTATTTTCTAATGCTGAAAGAGATTTTTGTGATAATATGGAATCGGTAACCAAAAACGAGGTTGTTGCATGTAAATGGCAATGATATTTGCCAGACATCATTTCTATTTTATTTTTTATTTGGTTTTGTTTTGTCGGTGATAATTGTGAGCTAGTTATTTCTAATCCACGCATACATTGGCTAAATATGGGCCATGATCTCATGGGTATATTGGTGAATGGCTGCGAACAAACATTTCTATAACAATAGTTAATTACAAGTGGATTGATAATTCGTGATTCTTTATTTCGTAAATATTCAAAAGGACTATTAGAATTGATAAAGTTTTCCATGACAATTCGGTAGGATATATCTTTAGGTGAGAGATTTTTCATTTTTAAACAATCGAAATTGATCCATTCGGCATGATAATTTTGATGATTTACAAAATCGAATGCTTGCTTCATTCGTTTCGATTGATTATTGACATTTTCGCCATTTTCTAATAAAAAATAAAATCTTGATCTATCCTTTATATCCATAATTTGATTAAAAATCGAACAAAGTTACAGATTCGAAAACATGACAAACTGAAGTGTTAGCAAAGGGAGAAAAAATGTTTATTTTAACAGATCCACTACAAATTTAGTCGAAATAGGAACATACATGCAACAGCATCTTAATTTGTCTGAGGTCTCGAAATTTCTCGGGCCCAACTATTGATTAGACAATCATTAATTTTAAGATTTAAGAATCGAAATAATTAACTTACTTGAAATATTCTTGGTGGTGTCTTCTCATATGATCATGAAAATTTTTTTTTCTACTAAAAAATGTAATTCTTCCTGATCTCGAACACAAAAAACATTTGATTAACAAGCCTTCGCTTGTCTGTCGAATTCTTTTTTCGCTTTGATTTAAATCATCTATCATTTTTTTATAATCAGGATCATTAATTGCTACTGCTGTTGAACGTAATCTATGCATGATTTGTTTTATTTTAGTATTTTATTTTGAAATCTTACAAATAATTCGAACTGTATATGGAGTCGATCAATCGAATTTTTACATAAAATTCGAAATGTTCATGAAAAATATAAACTAGTGTTGTTTCTTTACTCTTCATTTATGTCTGTCGTTATACCTCATGATAAATTTTTTCTAATTTCGCGCCCGAAATTTTCGGCAAACAATCTACCCCTAATAAAGTGCGTAATTGTCATCCAAACTTTTCAACTACTACTACTAATTTCCAAATTATTTTATAAATTATATATTTTCTATGCTTCTTCATCATCCTTAATTTTTGAGAGTGCATTTGTTTTTCTGGAAAATCAATTTTCCATTAAAAAAAATGATGACACAAAAAACAAATTTGGTTGTCGCCTGAACGCATATCTTCGTAAATTTTTTTAATGTCCAACATCATGAAAATCTTAAAAATGGATAATGATAATGAAAAAATTGATTGGCTCGCTGTTTGCTCCCGGAACAATATTGAAGCATGTAGTTTCACCGATTTTATAAAAGAAAAGATTATAAATGATCATGACGGCGATTCAATTGAATCAAATAATAATAAAGATTATATATCCATTATGAATAGGTTGCTCAATAATTTTTCACAATTATCTTTTGAAACTGAACCGATACCTGAAAAAAAATTTCGCTGTCATATTACTTACAAAGGTAAAGATGTTGAAGGTATTGGATTGTCGAAAAAAGAGGCCAAACAAAAGACTTGTAAACGGTTGTATGAAATCGAAATCGGTCATGAAAATCAATCCCATATATCAAGATCCGAATCTGAAGAATCAAATTCAAGTTCAAGTCCAAGTCATTCAGATTCATCTGTTCTAAATGCCCCATCATCAACATCGGAAGAATCTATAAAACAAACACTTATTGTAGCATTACCAATGACATCATCAACGACAACAATCGATTACATTTCTGATTTACAGATTTTCTGTTCAAGAAATCGAACATTTATCTCTATGCCTGAATATTCATTCAAACAAGTTGATCGTACGTTTCATTGTACATGTTATTTACAACCTAAAAATGATATTTATCAACCATTCAATGGTCAAGGTCAAGGTGCAAACATGAAAGAAGCAAAAAAACAGGCCGCCAAACAAGCATTCATTGCTTTGAAAACTTTTTTTGGACAAAAATTATGTAATGAATAAATTTATTTATTTATTTTATTTAATCATTCAAAATCAATTATTATTATCATATTTTTTTCTGTTTACAATTATAATTTTTTTTAAATATATATTCTTTTTAATTAAATAATAATAATAATAAAAATCCATTACAATTATAAGATTTTAGACACATTCAGATACACAATATATAAATTTCTTCTCTCTGTTTTTTTGTTCTTGTTGATGTTGTTTTGTTTTGTTTTTTTTTCATTCAAAATCGATAATTAAACACAAAATATCGGTTGATGGAGGGGGAACGAACAAGTGAAAATAAAAATGAAAATTTATTCGCGATGATCAGCGAGAGAAAAAAAACGAGAAGAAAAAACTTTGTATGGAAAAAAAATCGGAACGAAAAAAATACACATAGATTTACAGAGAAATTATAAGATAAAATATGTAATATTCAAATATTTATATTTACGCGATTGTGAACAAAAGCAAAAAACAAGAGCAAGAAAAAAAATCCTTATGTAATAATAGGTGTGTGTGTTTTCGTTTTTAAATCTTGAATTAAAACAATTCGATTACAATATCATTTCAAATATCCATTTGTGTGTGTATGTGTGTGTTAGGTGTTTTGATATTCATAAATATGACGAATATTGTTTGAATTTTAAAATTTATAGAAAGCAAAAGAGAAAAAAAAATTGTACATTTCAAATAAACCAAAAAAAAAAAAAAAAAAAAGAAAAAAAATTACACACATATTTACGAGATATTTAAATAAATCAATGATCAGGTTTAAAATATTTGAATATTTGGG